TTAGGCGATTTTCACCCCACCTTCACCTGCAATTATCACCATACCTCTTCTCCTTCATTTTACACCAAATTTGGACGAAAAGTGGGGCAAATCCGTGACAGTTGGCAATGGGGACACCGATGGTTTCTTGGCGGCGATCTGCTATTCCGGCAAGTTTCATCAACCATCACCACCCCAATTCGACTTCTCTTAACCTCAGGAACAAGGCCCAAACAGGTTTGGGGGCTTTGGGGTTCAAATTGAGGACGAATCGAACACACCCAAAACCTAGGGTTTTCAACGGGTTTTAGTAAAATTGGAGCTTTTCCCTACCAAATTGGCCTTAGTCACAGGTATAAAATTTACTTTACTCATTGAGACCTACAATTCTATAAAATTTGGTAATTTTTAGAAATAGTTGATTTTTCCGGCAAGTCGGGATGGCGGCGCGTGGCGGGGGGACCGTCGATGCTACTTTTAGGCTAAATTAGATGTCTTGAATTCAATTTTGATATTCATATAACGTAGGTTGATCGTTGAACCTAAATTCATTACGATACGTTACTTGGTAAAAATGTGAATCGACGATCCGACCGTTGGATCGTCATCAAACTTTAATATGTTATAGTACATCATATTTGAGGATCAGAGAAACTTACGGATCAAGAATCCAACACACGGATCTTCCCGAATTGGATTTGTAAGTTGATAAAATAAAACATTAACCGCTACTTGAATTTGCAATTGGCGGAGATCCAACCGTTGGATCGTAATGAAACTTTAGGATGTTGTTCTAGAAGCATAATGTGGATCTTTGAAAGTAACAGATCGGAAATCCATGATGTAGATTTTCTTGATTGAATTGTACGGATGTGTTTTATGTAAATTGTGTATTCAATCGATAAAAATTCTGAGATGTGGTTTGATATTTGTTCTAGGCGCCAATCATTCATGACGCCTCTATGTGTGTGCTAGGGAGTTGTAGCGTGAACTCCAGGTGAGTGGGCCTTTGGTTTTCAGTATATATATATATATATATACACACACACACACACACTTGTCTTTTTCCCAGAAAACTTATTTAAATGGTTTTATATTTTTAAATGCCATGTCAAATGCTCTCTATGTTTGATTATGCATTAGTATGGTTATATATATGGTTGCTTGACGCTACGGATGCTCAGGTAAGCTTCAGGTGAGTATATATTGATGGTAGTGAGTATGATTGTGTTGAGATGCATTTATAGCTCATTATCCTGTACCCCAGTGTTAGTGCTCTGTCCATTGATTTATTTCACTTGGCTTACTTATTTCTTTGCTAAGATATTTGACATGGCATATTTGTGGATTTGCTATTTTGAGTATGGTTTTGAGATAGATATGCATGCTATTTTCCGGGAAATTATAGGTTTTACGGCGAGGGGTTATTATCTTTGATAAGTGAAATGGTTTTAAAAAGCTTTGTTTGTGCCCACTCACCTTTTCTGTTTTGCACCCCTCCAGGTTCTAGTAGCAAAGTTTCCGTTTCGATGAGGATTCTTGGCATATCCTAAACAGGTGGCTTCCTAAGATGGTATAAGCCTTATCTTACCTTACTGTACTTTACTTATGCTCTGTAATCACGTATGAAATGGGTCCATACCCGCTCATCGCGCACTCGTGTTCTTAGGCACTTTTATGTTTAAATTTATTCATTTTTTCCACATCACCATACTTTATGGCTTCGTCACCTTCCAGGTGTCGGCCAACATAGCTCGATTTGGGATTGTAGTGGACATTCCGGATCAGGATGTGTCAACCTTACACGCCAATAAACTGACAATTGGGCAAATTAGCTTAAGCAAGATTTCTTAATTTTTCAATGACATGTGGAACTGTAACTTCACACCCTCACAATATCCTGGACACCTATAAACACCTACATTATAAAAAGAAATGATACTGCAAAAAATTAAAAAATAAATAAAGAAGAAGAAAAGGAGAGCATTATGCACATGTTTCTTTATTTTTATTAAAAAATACATATATATTGTATGTTAACCAATTTCAGAAATAGATAGATTTATATCTTTTTTCTACGCAATCCAACAAACAAAAGCTCAATTTTTCTTTTTAACTAGACTATAATTATTCACCTCCACGGCGTAGCCAGAATTTCTAATAAGTAGCAGTTCAACCTAACCTTAATATGTAGGATCTTATACATTAATAATAATTATTATGAACATTATAAATTTCATATTACGACCTAATTGTGTTATCATTTCAAAATCATATGATGATAATACTAATGCTAAGTATAACAAATTTTTTTAATACAAATATAACCAAAATTTTATCAAGGAAAGAGATATAACAGATAAACAAACAATAAGTGTTGGAAAATATTAGTATATTTAGGTTTATTTGAATGCTTAGTTTTCTGGGCTTAGCCCGTTAGCATTAGGGTTTTGATTTCTTACCTTTTAGGATTAGGGTTAGTTTATTATAAATAACCTGTTTGTTATTCATTTGAGAATCAAGTTATTCACAATGTAGTCTCTTAGGGTTTTGTAGCCATTCCGGCATTCTAGTTTGTTTAATAATATTCTTATTTTGTTAGTCTCGTTCGTTGCACACTCTAATATTCAACTTGGTATCAGAGTAGGTTAAATCTTTCGAGAAATAATCTGTTTTGGGGTTGATATCGATTTGTTTGTCTATCTGGTCAGTATCAGTTTTGTCTTTTGTTAGGGTTTTGTTGTTTGAATCTGTCTGCTCAGGAGCCACTCTGCATTGAACCCAAAACCCAAACCTGCACCGAAACACATTCCCTACCAGCCACCAGCCTTCGTACAAGTATACCCCCGTCGTTCGCATGTGAACCATTTCACAGCATCACTCGTCTGCCACACCCACCATCACCTACATGATCTACCGCCGTTGCAACAACTCGCATCCCCGCACCCCTCTCGACCCCGCACCAGACTATTGCCTGTAACCCCAACCCGACCCGCCAATCTGATCGATCCACCACATCACTGTTGTACCCGCTACCTTAGAACCACCCGCTTGTTGTTGTTTGTTCGCACCCCCGCTGCACCAATGCTGAAGGTGTATGGCATACACCTCCAGATTGTCAGTCCAGAAAGAAGAAAAAATAAAATAAAAAAAAAGGAAAAGAAAGAAAAAGAAAAATTGTTGTCCAATGCAAGAAAAAGTTGCGTTGTTTGTTAGAGGAAAGCATTCGAAAAAGTCCCAAGAGAAAGAAAATAAATTGTTGTTGCTTTAGGCCCACACGGGCAAAGAAAAAAAAATGGTTAAGTTTGCTTTAGGCCCACTCGTGTGATAGTTGTGTTTGTTCGTTTATTGCTACAATTGAGATATGGAAATCTCGTCCGTTTAGTGACAGGTTCTTTCCATACTCTCAACTCTAGCCAGTTTGCCAGCCAGAATTAAGAATCAAGTCAAGTCAAGAATCAAGAACCAGTTTGCCAGTTTGTTAATCAAGTCAAGTGAAGTCAAGAATCAAGTCAAGTCAAGTCAAGTTAGCCAGTCAAGTCAAGTCAAGTTTGCAAGTTTTCCAGTCAAGTCAAGTCAAGTTTGCATGTCTGCTAGTCCGCCTAACGGAGCCAGTCCGCATCTGCTTGTTTGCAAACCCATGTCGTATACCGCTATGAGTTTGACGGGGGGTGTTGGAAAATATTAGTATATTTAGGTTTATTTGAATGCATAGTTTTCTGGGCTTAGCCCGTTAGCATTAGAGTTTTGATTTCTTACCTTGTAAGATTAGGGTTAGTTTATTATAAATAACCTGCTTGTTATTCATTTGAGAATCAAGTTATTCACAATGTAGTCTCTTAGGGTTTTGTAGCCGTTCTGACATTCTAGTTTGTTTAATAATATTCTTATTTTGTTAGTCTCGTTCGTTGTGCACACTGATATTCAACTATAAGAGCATCTAATGCTGATTTAAGTTTACTGAAAAACTCAAACAAATTCAAGACATCTGGGAATAAATAAAGAAAATTGAGGCAAGGAATGAAGTGACATGCACCTTTAAGCTCAAGTGTCATAAGTCTCATGGTCCTTAAGCACGGATCAGGATCCTCTCCTGAGGAAATGGAGAGGATCCTCCTGACCGGGTCCATCAGGCCGTTCAAATTTTATCCAACGGCTACAATTATTATAACTTTTAGTGGAGCCCCCTGTTTGTAGCCGTTGGATAAATTTTGAACGGCCCGATGGATCCGGTCAGGAGGATCCTCTCCATTTGCTCAGGAGAGGATCCTGATCCCTTAAGCACATATGATACTAGATTATATTTAATAGGGCAAATATTATTGTACAAATATGAAAATTTTTGGATATAACATATAAGAAGACATATTTTCAAGATGTTGAGAAAGAGCAAGTGACCATGGTGGGCCTTAATTAGCTTCGTTAGAGATTTAGCTCTCTTCATATTCAATAGTCAGGGGCTGGGAGTAAGGTTAATTGTTTGTGTACGGAACTCAATCAGAACAAAAATCAATTAAGACAACTCCTAAGAGAAACAAAAATTTAGAAGCCCTAAAAGATTATTAACAAAAGCCGCAACTGCACATGGCGGACAAGAATCCCACCTATGAACCTAAAATGATTAACACCATAGTTTGTCAAACAATCCACCACTTGATTTCCTTTGCGATAAGTGTGAGAAAACTGAACATGCATATAAGAGAGAATGGTACAACAATTTGCCCAATCAACCGATAAATGCCAAGGCACCTGAGAAGATCCATTAGAAAGAAAATGCACTGCTAAATAAGAATCACACTCAATCCAATTGTACAAGAAAAGAAAAGAAAAAAAATGGTTTTTCATAGAAAGTGATCTTGAGCACAGGTAGTGTGCACAAAAGTGAAAGCTCAAATATCTAGGTCACAATTTAGGTTTTGCTCACCCTTTATGCCTTAATAATAAACCTCCATTCTCATGCAATTGTGCAGCCAAACAATGTTTGAATGTTGCGTTAAAACCAATAATCTCATAATTTGCAGGTGAACGAGAAGAACCAAAATCCATCTTGGAAAGCAATTGGCTACACTGGACCCGACCCCAAGTTCATTGCCAAAACCATGAAATTCAAAGCATGAACAGAAATTCGAGAACAAAATCAATTTCCTGACAACAAAGAAGAGCTCTTTGGACCTCTTTTCAGAGGAATTATAAATATGAAAAAACAAATGATTTAGTTGCTGATATAAGTAGATTTGGAGTTCCAGCCTTTGTTCATCACTCTTTAACTATCCGATGTGATGCCGTAGTAATTGGCACAGGCTTAGGAGGAGGTGTTGTTGCTGGTGTTCTAGCAAAGGATGGCTACAAAGTGGTTGTCTTAGAGAAAGGACACTACCATGCCAGGCACAATCTTACACTTCTTGAAGGGCCCACAATGGATCAAATGTACCTGTCTGGGGGTTTAATTGCAACTGATGACACGTGAGTTTTTGTTCTGGCCGGCTCTACAGTTGGGGGAGGCTCCACCGTGAACCGGTCCGCTTCGGTTCGAACACCAGTGCATGTATTGAAGGAATGGTGCAATGCTCATAAGTTAGAACTGTTTGATAGTAAGCTATACCAACTAGCATTGGATGTCGTCTGTGAAAGAATGGGAGTTCAATCTGAAATACAAGAAGAAGGGTTCAACAATGCAGTTTTGAGAAAAGGGTGCCAAGAGTTGAGGTATCCAATGGAAAATATTCCTCGAAACTCAACGCCGGGTCATTATTGTGGTTGGTGTTGTCTTGGCTACAAGGATGGAAGGAAAAGAGGTGCCACGGAGACGTGGTTTGTGGATTTGGTGAATTCTGGTAACGGTGCGATTTTTTCTGGATGCGAGGCTGTAAAAGCGTTGCACAAGAGAAATAAAGGAAGAGGACATAGAAACACAGCTACTGGGGTGGCATTCAAATTCGAGCATGAAGGGGGTAGAAATATAGGTTTCGTGGAGTCTAAGGTAACTATTGTTGCTTGTGGAGCTCTCAGCACTCCAAAACTGTTAAAGCGAAGCGAATTGAAGAATGGTAATATAGGGAAAAACTTGCATTTGCATTCGGTGGCAATGACATGGGGACACTTTCCAGATTCATAAGTGTTTGATGGAAGGCTTCCGAGAGAGAAGAAAAGCTTCGAAGGAGGGATACTGACAGCAATGTCTACTGTTGTAGCGGATTTCGATGGGTCTGGATATGGAGCTGTGATACAGACGCCAACTTTGCATCCGGGTATGTTATCAATTGTAATTCCTTGGGTTTCAGGCAAAGATACAAAACGGAGAATGAGCATGTTCTCTAGGACTGCCCATGTATTTGCATTGGTAAGAGATAAAGGGTCAGGAACTGTGAATGCACCACCAAACTCAGTCAGTTATGAAATGGAAGCTATTGACGAACATAATCTGAACACAGGGCTAGAGAAGTCGTTGAGGATACTGGCAGCGGCCGGAGCTGAAGAGATTGGAACCCATCATTTTAAAGGGAAAAGCTTAGCTGTGAAGAAGGCAAGTTTGGATGAGTTTGAGAGGTTTGTAAAAGAGGAGAGTTCAAGGTCATTAAGAGACCTTTCCTCGGCCATATGTTTAGCTTATCAGATGGGGAGCTGCAGGATGGGTGTTGACGCGAAGGGGTCCGTGGTGAATCAAATGGGAGAGACATGGGAGGTGGAGAGACTTTTTTTGGCAGATACAAGTGTTTTTCCAACGGCTTTAGGAGTGAATCCAATGGTCACTGTTCAGGCTATTGCTTACTGCACTGCCCAATCTGTTCTTGAAGTACTTAGGAAAAATAAGTTAGATAATACTTGATTTGGTACAACTGTGATATAGCTAAGACTCGGATCAGAAGCTGTCAACTTTCAAATGCTTCTCAGTGAATATCTGAATACAACTTGCAAGGGAAGTCCAACAATTCTCACTATTACAAAGTATTTCTTTCCTCCCCTAGTAAAGTTGTTTCTATCTTAGTTCAGAAATAGTTGCGGATGATATTGGAGTTGTTGGAGTGGGACTCTCGGCCTATCGACCTAAAAATTTAACATGGTATTAGAGCCAAGTTACGGGCCCATGCAAGCCAAAGGCTTGTCACCAGGAAGTGTGGAATAGGAAACAAGCCTAGACTCTTAACATAGAGCCAACCTCTGAATTCCCAAGAAGCACCAAAACAAATCTTGAAAGGATTGGAAACAAATCTGGACTCCTTTAGAGTCGGCCTCTGAGTTTTAATTACGGATGTGTGGATTTCCATGTGTGAACCACTAAAATGGGGTTCTAAATGCAGAAGCTTGTTGGTTATCTCACATCGATAATATCTCAAACTTGGTAATTACCACTTGCCTATCTATTAGATGTGGGATTTTAACACAAAATACCTTGGTATTAGTCATTTCATGTCTCGGAAATAAAATATACAATTTTAAGGAACAGAGTGTAACAGTTTTTAACTTGTACAAATATACAAACACAAATGCAGACCAAAACCCAAAATAATGTTGGCGAAGTCTAATAATTATGTTCCCAATGTCCTAAGTTCGAACGGGTTCCCGTTGTTTAAAACTAAATACGTGCACCCTAGAATGCTAAATTAATAATCCATGCAAACAAGGGTTCGCCCAATTGGCTAAGGTAGAGTGTCCCCCGCACCCAAGTTCAATGGCCATGGATTAACAAATCCATTGTGAGCTGAACAAACAAAAAGAAATACATTCTATTGAAGAGAGAGGGAGAGAGGGAGAGAGAGAGAGAGAGAGAGATATCCAAGAACCAGAAGTACAACTACACCAAAATTTGATTTCTCTTTTTACTAATTGTATCATGGACAATATTTGCAACATTTGCACAAAACAAGAGATGCAATGGCCAGCTCATGGGAACTAAAAGGCATGAACCAGTCCGATTGGTGGTAGTTCTAAGAGTCCTCTAAAAAAAAGTGAAAAATCTCAAGATGTCCACAACATTTACCTTTGAGATTCGATCCTCATGTCAAGACTGCGGAGATAAAAGGAAGCTAAAGAGAACTGTGACAGAAGCAACCATGGACCTCGAGTGACTATTGAACCACGACCAGGCATTAAAAGGGCATGTTGCCACCTCATCCCCTCCCTAAACCATAACCCCTTCCCCATTGATATGGACCTCAGTAATTCCCGCCACGTCCCGAAGCATAACCGCCATAACCATGATTAGATCTCTGCTGGAAATTGCCCAACGTCTGGGACAGATATATTAAAACTAAATCAATGATCTCCCAACAACTGTTAAACATTAAAGTTGCTATTTTGGAGAATCTAAATAGCCATGTATTTTTTGTCTTTTGTTTGTATGTGTTGGCAGTGTCTAGAATTATCTTTTTCGGTATTATTTATTAGGTCCAGCTTTATTGTCTCTGAGAGAGAAAAAAAGAGGAGTCTTTAGAAAGAAACGAAAAGACACTAGTGTGCCTTTCCTCCTCCCTGTACCAGATCTTTTGTGTGTGCAGAAAATAGAAGTTGGAGTTTTTTTTATTCATCTTTTTAGCTTGTTCTTCTTTACATCTTTGTGTGTTGATCTTGGGCTAGTGTATTGTATTACACTATTGTTGTTGTTTACATGGTACCAAAGCCACAAGGGTGGTAACTGGTTGTTTGCTTGAATCCCTTGGTGAAGAAGATCAGCTGGTGTTGCTCTAAAAGATGGAATCTTCAACTTGGGTTACTGGGCTCGGCATAGAGCTGCTCAATCCATCAAATTACAAGATCTGGAGATCGTGTATGGAGTCGTATCTGGTTGGTGAAGATTTATGGGATGTTGTTGGAGGAGCGTACACAACCAAACCCGAAGACGGTGCAGATGCCGATGACTTGAAATGGTGGGTAATGACTAATGCGAAAGCTGAGTTCATGTTGAAGAGATATGTTTCTCATGGGTTATTCGAACATATCATCAAGTGCAAGTCTGCCAATGACATTTGGGAGACTCTTGACAGACTATTCAACAAAAAGGACATTGGGAGGCTACAAATGCTGGAGAATGAATTGGCAAATTCAAGTCAAGGTGACCTTTCAATTTCTCAATTTTTCTTGAAGATTAAGAACTTGTGTTCCGAAATTTCCCTTTTAGATCCGGATGAGCCCGTCTCTGAAGCTCAAATAAGGAGACACATTATTCGTGGCTTAAAAAAGGAGTACACTCCTTTTGTGACTTCAATTCAAGGATGGGATCGACAACCCACCTTGGAAGAGTTTGAGAATTTGTTGTCATCTCAAGAGTCTCTAGCTCGCCAAATGGTTGGAGTGTCTATTTCGAACAACTCCGGAGATGCTCTTTTTTCTCGAAAAAAGAAGAATTTTAAGTTTGATAAAAGGGATTACAAGAAATTTGATGCTGCACCTAAAGAGTCATTTAATCAAAGAGATAAAAGGCCTCTCAAGTGTCATCGATGTGGAAAACTTGGTCACATTCAAAAATTATGTAGAGTTAAAATGAGCGAAGGCAATGTGGCTGAAACAAATGGCAACTCTTGTATTTCTAGCAATTCAGAAGATGAAGAAAACTGGGGGAAGTGTTTTCTAGCAGAAACTTCAACCATTGATGCCATGGCTATTAACTTTAAAGATGAATGGATTGTGGATTCCGGTTGTGGCCATCATTTGACAGGTGATGAGTCAAAGTTTGTTCATTTACAACCGCACAAAGGAAATGAAGCAATGGTGACAGCTGACAACACAGTGCACCAAGTTGAAAAAGAAGGTACTGTGATCATCAATGATGGAGGTAATGATTCTATCACATTGAAAAATGTTTTCCATGTTCCGGGGATGAAGAAAAATTTATTTTCTATTCCTAATGCTGTGGATGCTGGTAATTTTGTCTTATTTGGACCAAAAGATGTGAAATTTCTCCGGAATATAGAAATTTTAAAAGTTGATGTTGTCCATACCGGTATGAGGGTAAAAGATACATTTGTTTTATCTGCCTCTTCATCATATATTGATAAAGTTAGCTGCAATGAAAATGCTTCCTTATGGCATGCTAGGTTAGGGCATGTTAATATGGAAAAATTGAAGGTGATGGTTCAAAAAAATCTTGTAAATGGGCTGCCTAATATTTCAAGTTTTCCTAGCAAAGTCATTTGTGAAGGATGTCAATTTGGCAAGGCTCATCGTCTTCCCTTTGCCAAATCTAATTCAAGCTCTTTTAGAATGCATTCATGGTGATTTTATGGGACCAACTAGAATTCCTTCCTTCTCTGGTTTTCGCTGCATGCTAATTCTTGTTGATGATTTTTCAAGATTTACATGGGTCTATTTCATAAAACAGAAGTCAGAGGTTCTCTCCAAGTTTTAGGAGTTCAAGGAGATTGTGGAGGGTGTTCTTGGTTTGAAAATTAAATGCTTGCGTACAGATAATGGTGGGGAGTTTACTTCCGAAAGCTTCTTCAAATTTTGTCAACAATTTGGCATAAGAAGGCAATTATCCTGTGCTAAAACTCCGCAGCAAAACGGAGTTGCTGAACGGAAGATTAGACACTTGACGGAGACATGTAGAAGCTGGTTACATGCTAAAAACTTGCCGAAAGCCTTGTGGGCAGAAAGTATGATGTGTGCAGTCCATGTGATTAATCGGTTGCCCCTCAGTCCAAATAATATGAAAACTCCATATGAGTTGATGTTTGGTGATAAGCCTAGTGTAAAACACTTCAAAGTGTTTGGCTCAATTTGTTATGTTCATGTGCCTAACTCTAAGAGAGGGAAGCTAGATTCAAAGGCGAAAAAATGCATTTTTGTGGGATATGATGAAAGAAAAAAGGGTTGCAGATGTATGGATCCTGAGACGCACAGTTGTGTTGTGTCAAGGGATGTGATCTTTGATGAAATCTCTTCTTTTTATGGCCAGAAAAATGAATCAGCCAGCGACAACACTCAAGAACCTATTGTAATTGAGTTGCCTTCGTCCTCCAATCCTCCTAGTGTTCATGATACTTCACATGTTGGTGAGCAAGGTGAAAGGGGGAGTGTTAGTCCGCAAAATGTTGAAATGATGGAGGATGTGGGATCTCTAGAGCAAGAAGAAGTTGAACAAAATCATAGGCCAAAAAGAACCATCACCAAACCGGCAAGGTTTCGAGATGAAAACTTTACAATTACTTATTCTTGTTTTTTGCAGGTCTAATTGATGAAGCAAAACCTTCTCATTATGAAGAAGCCAAAGATGTCAAAGAATAGAGGATAGCCATGGATGAAGAAATGCATGCCCTTATGAAGAATGAGACATGGGATTTGGTGCCACAACCTGAAAATGTGCATCTTATTACATGTAAGTGGGTTTACAGATTGAAGAGAAGAGCTGATGGAAGCATAGACAGATTTAAGGCCAGGCTAGTTGCTCGTGGTTTCTCTCAAAGCTATGGAGTTGATTATGAAAAGACTTTCAGTCCTGTAGCAAAAATGACATATGTTCGTGTGGTGATCTCGTTGGCGGCGTGTCAAGGATGGAAGTTGTGGCAACTTGAAGTTAAAAACGCATTTTTATATGGAGATCTTGACAAAGATATTTATATGCAGCAACCAGCCGGATATGTATCTGTTTGGACCCAAATTTACATCATCGGCCCGTGTAATCGAGACCGTAGAGTAAACATAGTTCTCAGCCGTCGGATGGAAAAGTGAAAATATTTTTGTTAAAAGATAATATTATGGTTTTTATCATGATTATCTTTTAATTTGAATTATCTTGACATATTCTTAAACGGGATGGATATGATGCAAATTATATCCTCAAGTAAGAGTGTTTGGGCTCAAATTAACATGTTGGGCCGAGTATAGAACCAC